TTTATTTATTTATTTATTTATTTATTTATTTATTTATTGAATTTTTTGATTGACTTTGACTTCAACTCCATCACCCCAGAAGAGTAGTTGGTAAGGAACCACGGTTGGGAAAGAATGACTTAGTAACTTGGAATATTTATCTACAATCTAGCATAAGGTTTCTGCAACTGGCAGGGGTTTTCCCTGGACTTATATAAATGTCTTTTCGAGCCCTACTACCTGAGAACTATTTGAAATGAAGATGCTAGAGCTCAAATTTCTACTAAACTGCAGGCTCTCTTTGAATGAAATATCCGAAAAATATTTTTCTTTATCATCCAAATAAAGCATAAATTCTGTCTATAGACTTTTGAAGCCAATGCATTACCAGGTTAACTGATACTACATATTGATTTATTACATACATTTGTATACTACTTCCATCACAAGACTCTAGGTAGTCTATGACATGCACCAAGGCAGCAACGATATAATAAATAAAAATCAAATTTCTAGCAAAAACTTCCACCTAAAATATATACAGAAACAAAAAGAATCTGTTATCCAGATTAGGCCACCCAACCGTCCCTAATTTTCAAATGTCCAGTGGAACAAGTGCCTCCTGGTCTTACTCCCCCCACCCCACAATGGCAGGTTTAGAAGCTGGATTTTTAACATGTGCCCATATACTGAATTTACTTATTAAATATATATATTTATTTAGTCACTATATTAAGTGAATCTCTGTTGGGTTCTTGGTGTTTTCTAAGCTGAGAGAACACTAAGAGCCCAACAGTTCAACCCTGAGCTATATATATTCTCTACTGTTGTAAGTGCATCTCTGACAGATATACAAAGGGCCCAAATAAAATATGTTGACATTTATAATTTTAACCAGATTGTTTTAAGTGCATACTTAAGCTCTCATTTAAAAGTGCTCTTTTTTAACCATTCTCTTCAAGGAAAGTGAGAGATTTTGGAAAAACAAGATTCGAGGAAATTAATTTGTGCAAAGGAAAAGAAACTTGTGCTGTTGCCAGTTTGTCTGCAATGCACAAACATTTCAAGCTAGATTTCAGCATTCACACAAATGAACAGAAGAATCAATACTTACCTCCTTCTCCTGATCCAGAGCCATTATCTGCAGACAGAGATAGAGACAGAGAGAGACAGACTATTATTCAGGATGGCACTTTTTCCTTTTTAAATTTAGAAGTGTATTCTAGAGCAAAACAGAGTTGCATCGTTATAGACAGATCACTCTTCAATTTTTTCAAACCCAGAAGTCACCTTCAATCATAACTGGCAATGCACTTTTATATTTGCAGTACACATACATTTCTCTCTCTACAGTGTTTTAAACGGTGTGGGAAAAATGGTGGAGGAACTGATAGTGAAATACATCTGAGTCTGGGCATGAACTACCAGAAGAAGAGCAGTAAGGTGGTTGTACTTGATTAGGAGGAAAACATGTACATGTGATGGATGGAAAGCGCAGGCTGTGATTAAGTATTCTTAAGACTCACAGTTCTTATTCCCTTTCAGCTCTTTTACAATAATATAACTGGCTAATGAGAAGCACTCAATTATAGGTGTGATTTGTGTGATTGAGTTTGTTATAAGCTGTCTTGGTTATAGCATTACGATTGTTTTAACTGTTTTTTGCTTGATGTATAGAGGTTTTTTAATATTGTTTTTGTTGTTAGCTGCCCAGAATTCATATGTAAGAAGGGCAGCCATAATTTTTTTCTAAAATATATAAAATAAAGTAAAAATAAACCTATTAACAATAGCTGCACTCTTCCAAAAGTAGGCACTTAACAATTAACCCCAAAGCTCCACAGCTTCATACCACTTCTTAGCCTGCCAAGGCTGCTATTCAGAGGCTTATTCAATACATGTAGCATCAGGGGTACACAGGAAATGCAGTCTCAACTGCACATATAATGCTGGAGGGAAAAGCAGCTCTCCTGAGTCCAGATGAACCAGTTTCCTGGGTTCTCCAACCCTTTCCTCCTTCCAGCAACTGAATCCTTTGGCAGAGCTTTCTCCTAACTGTTCATTCCCATCTGATTAGATTTTGGCCCCTTACAAAAGTGAGCATTCAGTTGTATATGCAAGAAATTCCAGCAGGGGATTGATCTTCATAGTGAAAAGTTGTGTCAAAAAGCTGTTTTTACTTAGCTTCAACCCAGGAGACAGAAACAGAGTAGCATAATGGGGACAGAACAACTTTGAAATCAGCACCATCTTGATCAAGCCAGCAAAATTATGTGGTACCAAACCATAGATGTAATGGGGACAAGACTAACAGATAGTATGTATCCAGTGGAATAAATGTGCTGTCCTTAGATAAGGAACTGCTTTGTTTTGTGTGTCACAGTTCAATACCCCAATACATAAGATACATATATCCTCCACGACAGCTCTGTCAGTGGTGAACAATTTTTTTTTCTCATAACAGAACGGAGGAGGGAAAGAAACATTAAGTAGCCGACAAAATGACTGCAATTTATTTCCTAAAACTTTTATAGCCACAGCAGTGACTTAATGGAATGGTTCTCATTTTATTTTTTCCTTCCTTCCACATCTACCTTGATCCTTCCTCCCTCATCCTTTAGAATTTTTCTGCCACTGTAAGTAATACCTTCTTGAGATGCTCTACACTGCATTCAGTGACCTGAAAATGAAAATGAGGCAGCTACTTGGAAAAACCAAGTGTGATCTATTACAAAGTCAGAAACACAAAGTGTCACAAAAAAGCTCTACGGAACATCTGAAGGAAAAATAGTTCATATCAAAGAATGTAATTAAGCTGCACATAATGACAGTAAGTCACCCAACACCATAGCCAAAGTTATTTTGTTATCAAAATTACAAGTTGTTTCTGGAATAATATGATTTAACCAATGAAGGTCTGTCAGTATAAGCTACTCAGGCATTAAAAGTAATGGAAACAGCATAGAGTTTCCTCATCTCCTATTCTTCTTCAAACAATAACTAAAAATGGAAGCATGCAAGTGAAATGGAGGAGATTCGAGATCTTGAACAAGCACTGCAGATTGTTGAGTGCAAAAAAAATCCTCCAGAGCAAATGTACCACAGAAATTTTATTTAGTTATTCAATTTGTATAGCCGCCTATCTCAAACCAGTGACTCTGGGCGGTGAACTATCATAAAAACAATTAAAACAGTTAAAACACAATACAAAAAAGAAATTAAATACAAATAGCAGCCAACAGTTATTATAATCCATTTAGTGTCAACATAAATTTTATTTAGTTATTCAATTTGTATAGCCGCCTATCTCAAACCAGTGACTCTGGGCGGTGAACTATCATAAAAACAATTAAAACAGTTAAAACACAATACAAAAAAGAAATTAAATACAAATAGCAGCCAACAGTTATTATAATCCATTTAGTGTCAACATAGCCAGGAAACAGGGCTCTTTGCACACTCAGGACCCCAAGCTGGGCAGATAGCCAGGTCTTCAAGGCCTTCTGAAAGGCCAACAGGGTTGGGGCCATCCTAATCTCAGGAGGGAGGATGTTCCAGAGGGCCAGTGCTACAGCAGAAAAGGTATGTCTCCTGGTCCCTGCCAGCCCACATTCCTTGGCTGATGGGACCCAGAGCATGCCCATCCTGCCAGATCAGATCGACGGGTAGAAACAACTGAGAGAAGATGGTCCCTCAGGTAACTCGATCCCAAGCCATTAAAAGCCTTAAAGGTGACCACCAGCACCTTGAATTGCACTCGGAAACACACTGGCAACCAATGCAGCCCCCAAAGCAGAGGTGTTACATGTGCTGAATAGCTGACACAGTTTACAACCTATGCAGCTGCATTCTGTACCAGCTGAAGCTTCCAAATGCTCTTCAAGGGCAGCCCTGTGTAGAGCACATTGTAGTAGTCCAAACAGGAGGTCACAAGGGCATGAGTGACAGTGAGCAGAGCCTCCCAGTCCAGGAACAGGCACAACTGGTGCACAACCTGAAGGTGTGTAAAGGCCCTCTTAGCCACAGCTACTACCTGCTCTTCCAGCAGGAGCTGTGAGTCCAAGAGGGCCCGCAGATTGTACACCGGGTCCATCTGAGGCAGTGCCACCCCCTCCAGGACCAGAGGTGGAAAAACCGGAAGACCCAAGCACCCAAAGCCACTCAGACTTGCTGTGTTGCGCTGAGGCGTTTCAATTTTTTGAGCCAAAATATTCTTATGCATTAAACTGGACTACCACAATGTGAGTTAATTCAAGTTTTATTTTGAAAATCAATGAAAACAATTAAAAACTCTTCGTTGTGATTTACATTATCCCCATATCACCTTGAAAATAGTGAGTAAAGATGATGAATGAAATCTTCAGATTCTTTCCCCCTGCTTTACCAAGCTTATTTTCTTGTATCTAAAAACAAATAAGGGAGGAATTTGATGGTCTTTCAAGTGCCAAAAGACCCATGATTTTTGCTATTACAGACTAAAAAGGCTACTCCTCTGCGAAGGAAAGAGTACTACTTTAACTGCTCTCAAAAGACCTGATAAACCCATGTTCTGGTCACAATGAAGATACAGTATTAGTCGTGCCCCTGGGAATTCTGGGAATCTAATTCCAGCCCATCAACCTCAGAGATAGGAAGCCTCTAAATCCTAGAAAACCACAATGGGGAAGAGAGTTATTGATCTGATGTTCTTCTTGTAGGATCCACCAGGCCTATTTGTTTAGTCACTGTGGGAAACAGTATGGTAGACAAAATAAGTTTTAAAGTCATGTGCAAGAAAAGGCAGGGCAACGAAAGGGATGCATAGAAGTCTAGCTATGAGGCCACTTTCAGCTGTAAGTTATCCAGTCTCAAGGAAGGGCATATCATTCTCAGGTTCACCTGATTCTGAGGACTAGAAAGAATACATTCTGTAGAAGTCATATTGTATCTTGAATAGCCTGCTGATCTCTGGCTGAACTGCTACCAATGTTTATAAACATATTTTATACCAAACAAAGAGCATTTACCTATACTGAAGAAATATCTAGATAGCTGGAGCTCAATTGTCTAATGTTCAGCTCTCTTTTCTAACGTTCAGTGAAAGGTTTTAATTTTTTCCTAAATCATTATGTCATCCTTAAAGCATAATCATTCTTTATTTTAAAAAAAATATGCTTTTTTTTTTTTAAGTTCTACCCTTTGGATGAAGACATTCTTCATTTGTTTTTCCCCCTCAAATTCTGCAATACCACTGAAATGCTACAATTCCTCTGCCAAAAATTCTGTGTGGGCATGAACAGGTCACTTTCATAGCTAAATTAAGTACTTCTAATTAAACATGATTTGCACCTGTATTTTTAAATGACACTACATTTGGCCAATTAACCTATTAAACAAGGGTCAACTCAGTGTTTTAAATTAGAAAAAGGAGAAAGGAAAGAATCTGCACAACCAATTCAGTCTTTTCCATATGTAAAAACATTCCGTAGCTAGATCTCTCCCTCCAAAATGCAGTTTGAATTGCAAACTACAACCAACAAACCATAGTCCCATGGTCCACTCTATAGTGGAGGGTGCACATAAAAAATCAAAATGCTCGCATTGGCACGACAATCTAGGTAGCATCATTGCAGGGGAAGAGCCAGTGAGAGTTTTTATTTTTCCCTGAGGTTAAAAGCAGCATGGATTCAGGATTTCATCGGAAGAAGAAAAGATGAAAATTACTCTCCCTGCAGCTGCTAATAATTTAAACAAATAAACAAGCTGACAGGGCTAGTGAGGCATTGAAGATCACATCGCCTTTGGCACTCAGGCTGCGTGCGGGGGCTCATGGAATCAAATGTTCGCCCAATCTTTTTAAAGAGCTGTATACCAAAAGCGAGATTCCAGGAAAGACATTTGACAAAGACTCTTCTCCTCAACAGCTCATTTTCTCTGTATGGGAAGAACATTCAGTTTCATGTGCTCCCACCTGCCATCTGAAATTACACATCCCAGGCACAAGTTTACAATCCCAGTGAGAATCCGGCCCAATCTTCTAGTAGCATCATTTCCATCTGCTACCTGTCCTCTTTATATCCCTTCTCTCTCCAATCCACTGCATGCCTGCTGGCAATTAGCCTCCAGTCTCAATGTCAACAGGAAGGTTTCTACCTAATTGCC